CTGCAAACAAGCTGATGGTACAAGATTTTTGGCCCTTTTTGGTCTAAAAGGTAAAAACACCTACTACTAAACGGGATAGAAGACACAGTTTTGGCTCAGACTGAAAAAATGCTTTCTAAATTCTAGCCTAACAACGTTAAGAAATTTGGAATACAAAATCATTTAACGTCATTGTGAGCTTAAATACCAACAAGGCGACATCGAGCGCTGTAATAAGACAAAGTTGGTAACGAACTCCAAGAAACCCCGGCTCGTTGCTCGAACTCGAATCAGAAGAAACCGACACACCAGCAAGGCTCCCGACCCATCGGGGAGCAGAAGCGGGAGCGCTCTGCACACGTCGATCTCACGGCATCCCTTTCAACAAAGGGGCGTGGGCAGCTCTGAGCAGCCCTGCTCGGGGACCCTGCGCCCCAAATTTTCGTCCATCGCGTCCCAGGTTAATAGATGTTGAAAAACTCTGCTTACTCCTATAAAAAGTCCGGGCATGAACGTATTCCTGCAAAGATACCGCTTGAAATTGAAGTGGGAGTTTTGCGCTTAAGCTCCCGATATTCCAAAATATCCTGAATATCCTAGACTGATGTCGAGTTATTCTACATCTTAAATGCCCAATGCTGTATGAACAGCTATAAAATCAACACAAAGCAATTTCAGTTTTAGACTTAAAGAAACAAGGTACCAACTGAAGTTAGTTTGTCTCTCAAGCTGTTACATTCAGTCTCCTCTCAAACATGACTAGTAGTTAAGCTGACTTTGGAGAAGAAAACCAGAACATTCAGAAACTTCTCCCACCTAAAAATAAGTGTTAAAAGCAACGTACAGACCAGACACACAGACCGATGAGCTGCACACAGATCACCAATAAATATACAGGAACACCACAGTAAAGGACATCATAAAAGAAAGAAGCCCGGTAACTGCTATTAAGACCGTTACAAAAAAGAAAAATGTGTATTTTTTGCAGGCATGTGCAAGCACATTACAGTGTAATCAAAGCAGAACTTTGCTATTATTATTACTTTATGCAGCATTACAAGGTTACTGAGGTGCAGTGTTTAATAGTCTAGTCTACAGCTTTTCCTGACCGGAGGAACGCTCACCAAACTCGCTACGGACCCTCACCCTCCTCACCCATCGGAGCGGGGCAGCATCCCTTGCCCCACACCCCCCAGCTCGGCGTTCAGGTCACCCCGACGCACACACACGGCTCCTTTGAGTGCCCGGGCCCCTCGAGGTCTGCTCACAGCGAGCCTGACCAAGTCTCCAGGTAAGACTCCTTCACCCTCGGGAGCTCGCTACAGCGAAGAGACGACATCCTCCGGCAGCTCTGCCTTCCCTTCCAGCACCCATCGCATCGCCCCACGAGGCCCGTGCTGTCGATGCTCCCTCGCCCGC